CGGGAAACTTCTTTCCGGGAACTTCCTTATATACTGATCTTCTATTCACATGGACTTAAGCCACAGGGCTTCGCGTATATTCATATGCTTCCGTAGATTACAGAGTTTTGCCTTCAGCTGGAATTGAACCGTTGACCTTGTCTGTGGAGGGAGAGGCGCCTAGACCACTAGGCTACGGGACCCCATCCCCAACATTACTATAGTTTACTTTTTGTTTTAATATTTATTTTTAGTTTCTTGCTTTAAGTATTGTAAGGCATGCTAAATTATTCTTCAAATATGTTTCAATTTCTAGCTGCTCTTTTGTCTTTCATATGTCTTTTGCTAAATCTGCTTTTTGACAGCCTTGTGTTATTCTTAGCCTTGTTAGCTGTTTAAAATTGTCTTGTTTATTCAGTCTTGCTAAAAGACCACTCACTTGTTTTATAGTTAACTCTTGTTGCAATGTTCTATAGCTGCCAAAATCTTTGTGCTCTATTATGCAGTTTTCTATTGTTCATTGCAGGCTGCTCTTTTGTTTAGTTAGACTTATTATTAGTTGATGTATTTTATTTAGACTTCTGTTCAACATCTTTATTAGCTGTAACATATAGCTTAGTTTGGATATTATTACCATATTGTTTATATATGCAATCTGACTTATTATTATTTTTTTGTATTTTAGATCTCTTATAGTTTGGCTTACTATTTCTTTTGCCTTCTTTTTTATTTGTATTTTTTTCACATTCTGTTATTTAATTATATTTTTAATGAATGAACTATTTTATATCTTGTTTCTTCTATTATTTTACTTTTTCTATAATTTACTGCTTTTTCTTCTTTTCAGATTTTTGTATTTATTATTATTAGTTTTAACTTTGATCCATTTATCTCTATATTGTTTATTTTAAAGAACTTTTCTGCTATTTTTAAGATCTTTAACAATTGTTTTTTACTGCTTGCAATCCATGTTGTATCTTCTGTATATGCAATTGCTACTTGATGATATCTTGTAATATTGTTGCATTGCATGCCTTTTTGTAACTGTTGTTTGACTATATATCCTAAACTTTTATCTTCTTGAATTCTTTCTAATAATAGGTCATAGAAGAGACATCATGTTAATGATAAGATTACTTCTTCTTGATTTATTTCATCTTCTGTTATTAGTTCTTCTATTAGACCATAGGCTGTAATTATTTTTAATTGTCTCTTGTGAAAAAGATTCAGTATATATTTTAATTGTTTTCTTGAGTATTTTAACTTTTTGCAATACTAGTTCAAGACTTTTGAGAGAAACTAAGTTAAATGCCTTTTTCATATTCTGCAACAGTATCCATATTTCATTATTTTTTTCTTTTGCTTTTTCCATTATCATATTTAAAATCTGTACTGATTGTTCTGTTGAGTTTTCTATAAGGTCTGTAAAGTTTGGTTCTCTAAATATTTCTCTTTTTATAAATAGTTTGGCAAGCCTTTTTGTTATCACCTTCATTACAACTTTTCTAAATGTTTCAATTAGTGCTATTAAGCAGATATTGTTTAAACTATATCTCTATTCTACATCTTTTAGTATCAAATACACTTGTGCTATTTTCTACTTTATTGAAATTTTTCTTATTTTTAAGCATAAATTTGTAAAGCTTTTAAAAACTTTATATATTTTTGTTCCTACTCTTTTGATCAGTATATAGCTTATACTTGAGATACCGAGAGCTATTCTTGTTTTTAATTCTTTTAGTATCTTTTTTCATTCTTTTTTCTTAATTTTTCTTTTAACTTCTATATATCATTCCTTTCTAATACTTTCTTTCGATTTGTATATCTCTTTTCACTTTTTTAATATTGTTTCTAATTTAGTATTTCTTTTTCTAAACTGTATTTTATAATGTTCTGCAACATTTGTCTTAACCTTTTTTGGCTTTGTTATTAGATATGTCTTCTCTTTCTTTTGCTTAATAAGCCTATCAAGCATTATTTTTTTATACAGTTTATTTAGAAGACTGGCAAACATTTTCTCTTAGTCTATTTTGATCATTTTGCATCTCTTATCTACATTTTTTTTTATTTGTCTTCTTTGTGCTTGTTTTCAGTCTTTTTTTTCTTTCTTGTAAGAGCTTTTGTCATTCTTTTATGTCTTCTATCTAGACATATAACCAATGCCTTTGTAATTTTAGCAGTTTTGCACTTATTTTGTTGTCTAGTGCTTTTAGTTATTTATTTGTTTCACTTTTTTCATTTTCTGTTACCTTTTGGTCCTTTCTTGTTTTTGCATATTTAAGGGTAGGATAAATGTAGATTATTTTTTATATGACTTAGATGGTATAATGGATTTTTATATAGTAAATTAAAATATATTACTAATAAAACTTTTTTATTTTTAAATTAATTTTTATTAAAATTCAATAATATATAGATTTAAATAAGTTATTTATTATATTAAAATTTTATAAGATGTTTAATTTAAAAAATATATTTGTATATATCTTGAATTTTCCTAGGACACTCTATGTTTTTCCTAGGTTACACAAAAAGATCAACTTTAATTGGTTAATTTCTGAATAACTATAAGAGAATTTTAATAGTAAATTTTATATCTAATCTTTAAAAATTTTTATATCGATGAGTTTTGAACCAATTTTAATAAATTTATTACTGTTAGATCACAAGAACCTACTCTACAACTTTACTTAAGAGCTTAAAAAATATTTAATTAGTAAAAACTTTCGTAATTAACATTATAAAAAAAATATACCATCAAGTTTATATATAATTTTAAAATAGTACACCCTACCTTTAAATATAAAAAAAAATTACCATTAGGTTTATATATAATTTTAAAATACTACCCCCTACCCTTAAATTGTACCTAATTTTTTATACATATCTGATACGTATCAAGACTATCGCTATACTAAATTCTAATCTTTGTGCTCTTTCGGTTTGGTGACCCAATCTCACTATGTTTTTGATAAGTAAAATCATGTGTACCATTCATGCATAAATCGGACCTCTAAATAATATAATTGGGTCATTTATAATATGCAGTATCATTACCATTACTTTTTTTTTCAGAGAAATAAAGCTATGAAGTATAAACAAAAAATGATTTTGATTATTTTTAATGGTCGAGTCCTACAACCCTAAGAAAACTTTTTATATGCTTTTTTTTATTTATTCTTCGTAGTTTTATTTTTTAAAAAGTATCATACGGAAGTCTTCCTATGGGTATCATTACACTAACTAGGGCTCCGCTTGATAAAAGGGCCGCAGGTACCCGTGGGTTACCCGTAGAGAAACACTTTTTGATTATTCATCTTAGTGTATCATGTTTCATTTTTCATTTAATTATGACACACTCATATCCTGGGCCGGATAGTAATATTACCCTGATCCTACCCGTCTATATAAGGGCTCGTTTCAAGTCCGGCCCACAATCCAGTTCCCACAGGGTACTCCTATATTAGAAGATAAATTTGTCCATATCGATATCGATTTTTCTAAAATTTATTTGTGTCTCTGGACGGATCAATCCGAATTAAATATGCTGTACGTACGTACGTATTACATTTTATATTATTACTATCTATATCACGACCTACGACATTATTTAATACGTACTTGCCACTTCTATTTACAACCTACGACATACCGCTACTTATATTACGACTTACGTCAATAATACAAAAAGTTGCAACTTTAGTAGTGAAAATTGCGACTTCGTTACTTCAAAATGTCTGCACTTATACCTCTTACAGAACTTCCGCAAGAATTGAGAGAAACCGGTGGTACCTATGAATCATCATCCGCGAGTAACACCGAGGCAAATTCAATGCGTACGGATTGGAAAAGGAACTTATTTTTATTACTGGAAGATCCCTCCTCGAGTAAAGCCGCGTTTATGGTCAACGTTTTTGTTTCTTTTTCTATAATATTAAGTGCTGTGTTGACCACTGTTGAGACAATACCTTCGTTTAGGTTAACGTCTAGTTCCGTTTGGTAAGTCCTAAGAACGATATAACCTATATTAAATAGTTTTCTTTTCTTCTATTTTTCTGAATTTATCAGTGAAATTCATTAAATGTTGTGTTGTCTTAGGTTCAATTTTGAAACCACAGTAGTATTTATGTTTACCATTGAATATATATTACGATTAATAGCACATTCCGATTCATTCAAGCAACTATGGAAATTTGTAAAAGGTAGGGATTTCATTTAATAATTTATATTCCATTGATGTAAATATACAAGATCTCGGGCGAGCGCATTTTGAAAATTTTCAGAATGATTTCGTTTTTTCAACCCTCGTATCGACATCACCGTCTTCTTTGTGGAAAATAGCTCCTCTTGCTGTTATAGATTTCATTGCAATTGCCCCGTACTATGTAGAATTGGCTTTTCATCATGACACGGTAAAAATACGTACAATACAAATTTTTATATACCTAAATGCATATATTTATTGATTGTTTTTAATTTTCGTGTTTAGACCTACGATTTTCGTTTTACCATTCTTCGCTTGTTCCGTCTTCTTCGTGTCTTTAAGGCATTCAAATACTCTTCAACAATTATAATGACTATTGAAGTAATGATTGTTGCTGTTAAAAGAAGTATGGATGCCCTAGGTGCACTATTCTTCTTTATGGTAACGAGTATTATGCTATTTTCTACCTTGTTGTATTTTGCCGAACGTGGTAAGCTTTATTATTATTATTACTAGTTCCTTCGATTCGTTGTTAAACAACGGGTGGCAAATAAATTACGTGACGAGACGGATTGAACATCTAAATTTTTATAATATAGATTATTATTTATGTTTATTCAGTATATTCTTTTTTTCATCAGGTACATGGGACCAAGAGAAGCAACAATTTGTTAATAGTAAAGGATTACCTAGGTATATTTTATCATCTGCATTTATAATTTTACAGTTGATATTGTATGAAGTACTAACTATTTAGCATATATTAGCTCTTTTGATAGTATTCCTTCAGCATTTTGGTTTGTCATGGTAACTATAACCACTACAGGTTATGGTATGTTGGTTTAGTTTAAATCTGTTGTGTTTCAGGTAATACCTTAATTTCAATATTAAAAAAAAAATTTTTCTTGATAGGCGACATGGTTCCCACAACATTTGTTGGAAAAGTGATAGCTTTCCCTGCGATGATGTGCGGCATCCTGGTGAGATTTTAAATAAACTGAAATTGTTTTAAGTCTGGAGCAAATAGCCAATTATTTGTAATGCGCATCACGTGATATGGCAGGCGAAACAACCATTCGTTTTGTCAAAAATCGAAAATATACATAAGAAATCACATTTTGTGCCTTAACAAAAAATTTTATTCAAGCAATTTTACTATGTACTCACCTAATACCCAACTCTAAAGTAAATGCTAACCCTAACATAAACGAACTTTAAAAATCTTATCGTTCATGATATTTTGTGGTGCCCAGGTAGTTAATACCAATTATCATACCATATGGCATGATATAATTGATTGAATTTTTATTACATATAAATGCGGCAATTTGACTGATTGCATTAATTATTATCTGGTATTATACTTGGTTTTATATAATACCGGTATAATACTGGTATACGTCCGATCACCTGATGCTACTGTAACTGAAAATGCAGTCTCGCTACGCTCCAGACAACTGTGTTTCTTGAATATATATTTTTCATTATCTAATTATGTTCTGTTGATATTACGCAGCTTATAGCGTTACCATCCATAATTGTTGGAAAAAACTTTACTCTAGTATGGGAAGCAATGCGACAATATCGTCGCGCTAATGCCAATGCACGAGTGAGTGTTTTTTTATTAAACCAAATTTTTAAAAAAGTTGTAGCTTCCAATTGACTATTTTACACTTTTCATAAAGGATCAAACAAACAATGATGGCACAAATAACGAGAGTGAATGTACATCTGGTAAGTAATAAAAATATTTACGTATGATAATGAACAGTGTATTTATACATAATTTGTCTAGGTGCAGATTTACGAACTAGCTTTGAAAGTACACACTCTTATATATCTAATATGCCTCGCGGTTATGAATCTATGAATGACGAGCTGGTTGCTAATCAAGATGTGTTACTCGAGCAAGTGCGAACTTTATTAAAAGTTTCTCAACAAAATCAGGCTGCTCTTGAACGAATTCAACAAACGTTAGAACAAAATGGTATGAAATTCAGTCCAGAAAAAAATGTTTCATAAAATTATGCATCTGCACATTATCGATTTATTTATTATGATAGTAAATCTTATTACGTTTCGCGTAATGATCTTCCTTAAATTAGAATTAACTTTATATTTGATTACATTTAGAGATTATTGCATCATTTATACTTAGTATTTTCCTTTCTGCATTAATGAAAGATTTATATGAAGGTTGCTTATTGCGAATCATAGGGCTTTCATAGAATTTAATAATAAAACGTTTATTAAAAAAAGTGATTTACCTTTTTATTACAAAATTATTTTTTTTTAAATCTAATTTCTAATATATATAGGCATTATGCCAGGCTTAAGCATAGCACAAAGTATTAGACACTATTATAGGCACAGGCATAAGTGTCCGGCACTATAATATGCATGGGCACTAAGTGCCAGGCATTATGAACATTATTATAGGTACTAAGTGTCGAACATTATGGACATTAAGTGTTAAGCACCATGAATTTTTTGGTTAAATTTGAGTTTGGTTCAAACTTTGCAAACTAGTTTGAGTTCAAATATATATGTGTATTTTTTGTGCTGAATAGGTTTGTTTAGTGTATAAAGCTAAAATTAATTAATAAAATTTTGAGAATTATAAGATTTTATAAATTTTTATTAATAAATTTTATATAATATGTAATTTTTAAAGATTATATAAATTTTAATTTATAAGTAAGGTC